GAAAATAAAACAGAAACTGTAGAGAAGAAATAGAAAATATGACAACATTTTGTTGTGATAAATGTAAATGGCTTAAAAACACAAATTTAGAGTAGCTTAAAAAAATGACCCAACTCTATGTAGTCTACAGAAAGCTCCAAATATAGCAATATAGGTAGTCTGTAAGTAGATCTAGAAAAAGATATGATGTAACTACCAATTAACAGGAGGCAGGAATTAGTATGTTAATATCAGAGTATTATATTCAGAACAAAGAAAATATATTTGTCATTATATATTGTAAGCCAGTGAGGGCAAAGGGAGGTAAAATTTCTGCATATCACTCAAACTAATAAAGTGAACCCAATTTTATATGGATTCCTTCATTTCCACAGTGTAATTATATATAATGACAAATAGGTCTGTCCAACTAGAAGTCAGAATATATACCAAACAGTTGCACGATATGTGAAACAAAAATTAAAAACTAAAAAGAGACAAGTCTACATTATAATTGATAACTTTACAGCCATCACAACAATTTATAGGAAATTAGAAATAAGGGAGAATGTAGAAAAAAATAACATTATCAACCAACAGAATCAAATTAACATTTATAGAACATTCCACCCAACAAGAGCATCCAAGTGTATTCTTTTAAAATGCCCACTGAATGTAAGATAGTATTCTCAGCTATCAAATAAACCTCAACAAACTTATAAGACTTGAAATTATACAGTGAGTTTTCTGACCACAATGCAAAGTAGAAATGAATAATGGAAAACTAATAGGGAAGTCTTTAAACACTTAGAAATGAAGTGACATATTCAAATGATTTGTGAAAGAAAAAGGAAATTTTAATGCAGAACATTTTGTGACATTACATTTCAAAAACCATATTGACTGAAAATGAAAGTGTAACATATAAAATTTTGGGGGACAAGACAAAGCAATATGAGAGGAAAATTAATAGCACTAAATGACTGAATTAGGAAAAGGGATATAGCAAGTCAATAATCTGATCTCCCACTTCAAGAATCTGTAAGAAGTTTATCAAAAATAAAACCAAAGCAAACTGAAGGAAGGAAATAATAAAAATAAGAACAGAAATCAATAAAAGTGAAAACAAACAAAAAAGAATCAAAAGCTGGTTCTTTAAAAAGATTAATAAAATAGAAAAACCTCTAGGAAGACTGCCCCCCCAAAAAGGCAAGATACAAATTATCCCTGTCAAGAATGAAACATAGTATCGTTCACGATCTTGCAGACATTAAAAGGAATAAGATAATCCTACAAATGATTTTACTGATATAAATTTGATAATGTAGATGAATTGGTACCCAGTAAGAAGTAATTTGAAAAAGGCCTATAACTGGTTTAAGGTAATTAAATTTATGTGCGTGTGTGTGTGATTATTTATTTATTTATTTTGGGTGCTGGGAAATCTAAGCCAGGGCCTTATGCATGCTAAGGGTGGGCTTTTCTAATGAGGTATACCTCCAGTTCCTTTGAATTTATCATTTTAAAAATTCCCAGAGGTCTGGGAATATAGCTGAGTGGTAGAGCACTTTCCTAGCATGGGCAAGTCCCTGGTTCAATCCCCAGTACTACAAAAGTAAACTAACAGACCCAGAAAGAATGATTTCGTTGGATAATTCTGCTAAGTGTTTAAAGAAAAACTAAAACTGGGGATGGGGCTGTAGCTCAGTGGTAAAGTGCTTGCCTTGCATGTGTGAGGCATGGGTTTGATCCTCAGCACCACGTGAAAATAAATAAACATACTGTTTCTTCATCTACAACTAAATAAATATTTAAAAAAAGAAAAGAAAGAAAAACCAAAACCAATTCTACACAATGTTTTCTAGAAAACAGAAGAAGACAGATGTTACCACTGGAGGAAACTAAGTGAAGGGTACACGGGATCACTAATACCTTCAGTATTTCCTTACATGTGAACCTATTGTTTATCTGAATAGAAAAGGTTGAATTAAAAGAGTAACAGAGGTGAGAAGATATTTTGTGTAGAACAAATATAAGAATGTTAACATTTTCATTTTGAAAATAGTAAAAGCCAGAAGAAAGTATATCAATATGCATTTATTATATTTTAAATACTGAAAGATAAAGAATGCTAGGCAGTTTGATTCCAGAGCCTGTATGTTTATCCATTTCTCTGTGCTACATCATAAGGGTAATAAAAACAAAGATGCGGCAATTAGATGCACTACTCTGTATGCCTCAGGGCAGTAGAGTGATGCTACCAACCTATGAAAAGGAAACTAACCACTCTTTTTAGTCTCTCTCTGATCGCTTCCTATCCATTTCCTGTACTTAAACAACTTTTGGAAAAGTAAAATTGGTTGATACATTGTCTTATCTGTCAAGCAAGTTGTTACAAGTAAAGGAATGTAGGCAACTGCAACATAGGCAGATTTGGATAAATATCATAAAAGAGAAATTCAGAGAAAGCCTTTTGGAAATTTAGAGAAAGATTTGAGAGCACAACAAATAGATGACATCAAGGAAAATGACATGAATCTGATTAAGAGTGGAAGCAAAGGAAAGAGGTGAGGATGTGTCCAAGATCTGTAGTGAGATGATGACACAGATTGGTGTCATGGCAGTGATTTAATAGAATAGGTTCTGCCAGTGCAGAGGTTTTGTGTTTGCTTTTCTGCTAGGTTGTATCCTTATTAGCTAAAACAGTGTCTGGTACATACTAAGACTCAGTAAATATTTATCATGTGAATGAATAAGTAAATACAGCAGTTAGAAGGCAGTGATCACCAGTTTTGGTTAAGAGTGATTTGATAGTGAATTCCATTTTGGGAATTATAAATGTGGAATCTAATCACAACTCTGCCATTATCTAGCTGTCTTCTAGTCTTACTGCTGCACCAGTCACTTCAGCTATGACACTCAAAACTTGTGGAGAAAACAATATAGGATGTGTGCTGGTTGAGAACTTTAACTTTGTGATCCTATTTCTAAAATAAGGGCTACAAGAAAAATTAGTGTTACTATTGATTTTATTGTAGAGTGCTTAATTTTGTGGTTGATCAGTTAAGGGGCACCATTGCCTGAATCTAGGTTATATTTAATTCCTAATCTAAATGAGCTGACATACCTCTAATAATAGCATATACTGTATTTGGAGCTGGGTTTGTAGCTCAAAGATAGAGAGCATTCACCGATGTGCATAAGGCCCTGGGTTCATCCTCCAGCATAGCCAAACAAAACAAAAAACCCCTTGTGTTTGAGTTACCCCATGCAAAAGCTAAATAGCATTTTAAAGATCATCCAGCCCAAGCCCTTCATTTAAACTGAGAACAGAATAAAAATATGACTTGCATAGTCACACAGTTATCTGAAGAAAAAAATGGAGGAAAAAAGTAGTCAAGGACCAAACCCTGAGGGTAATGGTTACATGTTGACATGTTTTCAATAATTATAAAGTGGTATTATTTATAATTTTGAATTTAAAGCATGGGAAGAAAAATAAGAGAGAAACACTAATGAGTTGGTTTTTGAGGGGTTAGCTCTGAATGCTACAGGTACTAGGTAAAATTTTATTTTCTGGGAAAACCAAACAAAACATCTGCCTACTGGATATAGCTCTACCTTTATTTTCCCTCAACATCTTTTAATTCAGCATGTCCCAAATCAAACTTGCAGTCACTACAAGGTAAAACTAAAAAGGATCTTAAGAGTTGTCTGTAGTTGTCTTAAGAGTTGTCATTTTGCAGATGAAGATCCAGTCCTTGGGATGGAGATCTCTTACTTCTTAGACACATTGATAACTCTGTAAGCAACCAATTAGTTGTCTCGGACCATTTTTGCCTAGATCCTAGAGTACTCCTTTAGGGTCCTTTTGGCTTAGAGTGAGCCTTCACAGTTCATCCTGGCTACAAATAGCCTCTGGTCTTGTTTTGTTTTGTTTTGGTGGTGCTGAGGATTGAACCCATGGCCTTGTGCATGCAAGGCAAGCACTTTGTCAACTGAGCTAAATCCCTGGTCCTCTAGACTTGTTTAGAGCAGCAGATTACATTTTTTTTTTTAAAAACAGCTGAGTTCTCTGCTCATGTTGAATCATATGAGGCAACCCAGTATATGAAAAGAAACTGAAAAGAGTAGTTGATAGGGCTGGGGTTGTAGCTCAGTAGTAGAGTATTTGCTTACCATGTATAGGATCTAGGTTAGATCCTCAGTGCTGCAAAAACAAACAAAACCCCTGATGGTTAACAACAGAGATTTGATGGTGATTGAGATGTAGATAGTTGGAGAGATCACGAAATGGAAAGAATGTGTTCTATCCTGATTGCTTGGTCCTTGATCTCCAGAGATGAGGAGGCTCTAAAATGTCAGACATTAAGAAGCCACTTAAAATCCACTGATTTGTAGACCCAAGGGGTCTAGCAATTGTTGAGTGACAAGATCACTATTATGTCTGCTCTACAAGTTCTTATGTGACTTTAATTCATATCCTGGAGTAACAGAATTAAGAAGTAAGCCATCATTACAACTAGGATTTAAATAAACTCTCAACTATTATTTTAAAACTTTCATTGATCACATTTGTATTTATTTATACAGAAAGCAGCTTTTGTGTGAATTAATTGTACTAATATTGACATAACCTAAGAATTACTGTCTTGAACCTTAGGAATAGTCAGTGCACAAACCCCTATCATGTGACTTTTAAAACACTTGACATGTTTTCAATAATTATAAAGTAGTATTATTTATAATTTTGAATTTTAGTCAGCAACTGATTAAGCCCTATACTAGCATCCTGGGAGGAAAGAGGAAAAATAGGACAAAGTCCTTGCCCTCAAATTTGAGTCATGCTGAGTACAGAATGAAGAACGTGACATTTTAGGTTTTTTTTCTTTTAACTTCATTTCTCCACCTGAGTTTCACATTGTGCAGTTTTTAATTTTAATTTACTGCCTTATAAAGCATGTTCATGACTGAAAATTCAATAATTTAAGCTTGTATGCTTTCTTTCAAATTATTATTAGATTGCAAGACTGGAGAAAGATAAAGAAGAACTACATAACCAGCTGTTTAGCGTTGATCTTACAAGAGACACCAAACGAATGGAGCAACTTGTACGAGAAAAAGTCCATTTGTCTCAGAAATTAAAAGGTTTAGAGACTGAAGTAGCAGAATTAAGGGCTGAAAAAGAGAATTCTGGTGCTCAGATAGAAAATGTCCAAAGAATACAGGTGCGACAGTTGGCTGAGATGCAGGCTACAGTTAGGTCTCTGGAGGTAAGGTTTTAATTGCTTCCCGGTAGAGTATGGCATAGTTTTTAAAAGTGCAGTTGACAAGCCTTTGAGTTTTACAGCATAAATGTGTGCTCACCAGTCTAATGCTGACGCATTTGTGGAATCCCAAGAGTATGTGTTCTTTCTGTAAAGAATAAAGCTATTGATTCATAAGCAATAGCTGTGCTGCCACATTTACAAAGGGATATTTATTCTTGGGGAGTATAACACCTATTTGAAATGACATAACTCTTATAATGCCACAGAATAGAATATGCAAAGTCTCCCCAAATTTATTCAACTTTCTCAAGGCTAAAATCATCTTAAACCAGAAAGAAAAATTTCTTTTGAGTTTATAAATTCCTTACCCTGGAATTTGAAATCTTAAGATCATAATTCTTATTCGAGCAGAATACCATACTTGCATATCTTAAGACAGCTCTGGCCAGAGTAATAAAATTTAACTTGTCTACTAATATATATAAGCCTTTACTAAATTATTTCTTAGTTCATTAGAGAAAGAAGTGTTGGCAGTCATTTGGTACTTTTGGAGGTATTACCTTATGAAAACTCTTGGTTTCCATCATATTCAGACACTCTTACTTCTTCTAGTATTAGATGTCGGAAGTGTAGCAAAGATATAATTTAACATTTTGATATAACTTGTACAGTCCCAGTGTTCCTCCCCTTTGGAATAGTTGTGAAATGATTTGGGTTGGAGGGAAATTATCAGATACCTAGTTTGCAGTTAAAAATCCAATATCTAAATCGAAAATGGTGATTCCCCTGACCCCACCCTCTCCCCCCAACAGCCAGCAAGCTGTTACAAGGAGTACATTGTTATATTTAGAAGTCACTTTTGGTTTTTGGATAAAGCCTCTGTCAGTATTTGCTGGTCTCCTGAATTAAGTCTATCAGTATTATTGGACTTAGACATGAGGCAGTTCAGAGTGAAATTATTTATGTTGCCATTCTTCTTCTTTAACATATTTACACAGTGACAGAATTAAGTAGGACAATTGCATTTGAATGTAGTAGATGGTCCCAGTATGAATCTTTTCATCAAGGTCATCAATGAAATGAGTATTTTCAGAGCAAGTTGAATGATGACAAAAGATGGATTCTTTGGTGACATTTTCAGAAGAACCTGTGTTTAATTTTATTTGTCAGGTGAAATGAAAATGAGCACATGATAAACATTTCTTACTTCAGCTTTCTTGGCTGTCATTGTAACCAGAACGTATAATTTTGTATTTGAAGAAAACTTTTTTCTGAATTATTTGTTGACCACAATCTTTATCATATTTAGCACACCTATGAAATGAGATGTTTTAAGACCAACGCTTATCCTTTAAATACCAAACATTTTTATTTTTTTGAAGAGAAATAATTTTAAAACCTTTTAGTTTTCCTTCCCTAATAAGAGAGAACTTTAAGTATTTAACAAGAAGAATTTTGCCAACTTATAAACTTCAAGAATTATGTGATGAGGTCAAGAACTTTTTTGCTCATGCCTCAAAAGTTTCAGATTAGCTGAGGATTTTACTACTTGTCCCTTCTTCTCTTTAAAAAAAAAAAAAAAAAACTGTTGATTTTGAATTTTGAATTTTTACATCTTACTGCTGTCAGTGAGCTTTTTCTTCTACCTTTTAATATGCTTTTTTCATAACCACTTTGGTCTTGAACCCCCGCCCCCAAATGTTTGTAAATTATGTCAGCTTTCAGAGTAAATGGGTATCAAATGAGTGCCATAAGTACTTTCTCTCCTGAAGGAAGTTTATACCTTTTTATACTTTATATTTTTGTTGCTTATTTCCTGAAGCAAAACCTTTTATTTCACTTCTACCAATCTGAGAAAACTCTTGTTACTTTGGAACATGTTATAGTTGAGGTTTTGAACAATTTTTTGTATGATTATACATGAATTGTAAATAATGATTATCTCATTTTGATATGCTAAACATTGTGGACAATTTTAAAATATTTTGTTTTAATGAAAGGCTGAAAAACAGTCAGCTAAGCTACAGGCTGAACGTTTGGAAAAAGAGCTACAATCAAGCAATGAACAAAATACTTTTTTAACCAGTAAATTGCATAAAGCTGACCGAGAAATAAATACATTGACCAGTAAGGTAAGTTGGCTTTTGTTTTTGTTTCACTCTTTAGAATGTCTGAGACTATATAATGATTTAGAGTTTCCTTGTTTGTTTGTTTGCTTTTTTCTATATTGGGGGTTGAACTTAGGGCCCCATGCATGCCAGGCAAATGTTCTACCACTGAGCTTTATCCTCCCATCCCTTATTTATTTATTTATTTTTTTAAATTTTGAGACAGGGTCTTGCTAAGTTGCTCATGGTGGCCTTGAATTTGTGATTCTCCTTCTTCAACCTCTCAGTTTTAACTGGGCTTACAGTGTGTACCACTGAGCCTGCTAGAAATTTTGTTTGTAATAATTTTGTTTGTTCTCTGTATGTTAATGTATTAAATAATGTCAGTAATGTATGTAAATAATGTTTTTTCTCTATATTTTAATCTTTTTTTCATCATACCATTGACCTAAGATGTAAGTCATCTTATGCTTCTATTTCATTAAGCTTTTTGCTGCACAATTACAAAGAAATTTTGTGTTTAGATGTTTATATGTTGAAACGATTTTTATCCTGTCATTCTACCTTCATACAGAATCTGACCAGTTCTTAAACCTCTACTGTGATTACTCTAGTCCAAACCATGAATTGCCCTATGCTCAGTTTTTATGCTAGCTTCCTAATTGCTCTCTTGCTACCCATGCAGATCTTTGTGTGATCTGGCTCCTGCACTCTTTTTCCACAGCCATCAGCATCCATTTTCTTCCCTGTTTACTTTACTTCTGCCTCACTGGCCTTCATGCTGTTCTTTGAAGATGCTCACTTCTACTCAGGGCCCTCATGCTTATGTGCCTGACATAGTCTCACCTCACATATCTACATACTTTCTTCTTCTTCTTTTTCAGAAGTCACTTGAGAATCTTTTCTCATATTTACTTTGTAAAACAAATGTATCTTCCGTCCCGCCCCCCCCCCCGACTTATTCTCTCATCTTCCTAACTTGCTTTATTTTTTATTCATAGTTCTTAATACCATATGACATATTTACTGTTTTTAAAATCTCTTCTGCTACTTTCTCTCTGAAACTTGAGTATTTTTCTTTAAAATGGAGTACCTACCATAAAAAAGTTGTGGCAAAAATTAAATGAAATATTATGAATAAAACACTTAGCCTAAGATCTAGCAAATAGTCTCTGAATTATTAATGGTTATTATTAGCTGTTGGTTTATTTCTAAGAACTTGGAAATAAGATTGGTTTCTCAGTCAGTGAAATCATTGTATTTTCTGTAAGGACAGAGTTACATAAAGTCACCTTAAAAAACAAAATAGCTTTATCAACTAAAAGGCACGCTGTGTAGCCTGATAAACATGTATAAATTTAAAGGAATAATGTTTTCATTATAAATTGGCCAACGAATCTCTTGAGTAGATTCAAGGGAAGTGTATGTAACTGAAATAAAGAGTTTTAGTCAGCTGATTTTAAGTATTCTGGTCCCATTGAAAAGATTAAGAAGAATTAACAGTCTGTTTTAACCTGTGGCCATGAAATAGTCCATTCATCTCGATCTTTTTGTTCTTATCACCAAGCAACCTTTTGGCTGTTACTTGACTTCCCATATTATTTTGTCTACTGAGAATGTCTTAGTTCTTCAGACTTGAGTATTCTAGTTGCTATTATACTTTCTTATAAACTGGCATTCTCGTTTTATATATTACTCTTTATGTGCTTTATTAATAAGTCTAACTTAAGCAGTTTTGGGATTTCTTTGTTTTGTTTTTTAAAAATGTGCTGACAGATTTCGATTTCTGTGCCTGAAGGGCTAAAATTGTAATTTTAGATGGATTGGATGCCACCCTTGGGAGATAATCTACACAGTTTTTCCCATGATAAACATATACACTTCTTCACTTGCAGATTATGTGTCTAATGACTGACTCTTCTACTTTTTGGTGAATCTCTGTACAGTTTACAAAGTAGTTTTATAGCCAGTATTTCATTTAAATTATTAGATTATAGCTGACACTACAAAAAACAAGTGAAAATTGTGCAAATAAGATTTTTACTTGTCTAAATATTTTAATTTCAAGTATAGTCTTCTAGATTATAGTTTGAAATTTACTATCATTTTGGAGCAGATAATAAAGTTCAGTGGAAAAGTTCATGGGCTTTGAATCAAATGAAATGTGATTTTGAATCCTGACTCATGTACTTTATATACTAACTTTCCAATTTGCTTAACTTTTTTAAAAAACATTTATTTTTTTAGTTTTTTAGGTGGACACTAAATCTTTATTTTATTTTTATGTGGTGCTGAAGATCGATCCCAATGCTTCATGAATGTTAAATGAAAACTCTACCACTGAGCCACAAGCCCAGCCCCTCCAGTTTGCTTAACTTTTAAATGGGATAATAACTGTTTCTTACTGGATTATTGTGAAAATTAAAGATAATATTCAATGCAATAAATAGTACATGGTGATAAACATGTTACTATCAATGATTGTGTATTAGTGATATCCTTAAATAAGAAAATACCGTGAAGAATATAGAATTCTGAGCCCATGGGCTAGTTCTGTTCCTCTGTCAATAACTTTGTGTAACTTTAGGCAAGTTACTTGGTATCATTTGGGATCCAGTTTCCTCATAGGTGAAATGAAGCATTATTTCTGCTGATCCTTAAGAATCCTTCTAGCTTATTGTGATTGTGTAGATCCTACTAGAAAATAAATTTGATTTCTTTCTGGTTAACTATAAGTGGACTTCATACATTCAGCAGATATATCCTGAATGCCTACAATAATAGAGTACATACAAAAATAGGGGTAACACACAGAGAAGTAAATTTAGATTATTTGGATTTGTCTCAAGTTTTCTTTCAATTTCTATATAAATTATTTTCAATTTTGTAAAATAATATTGAGTATCCAGTATTTGCTACATATCATTCTGGACCTAAGGAGCCAGACTGGACTGCTGGAATCACCAGAACTATATGTGTAGCAACAGGATGTTAGATATGCTGGACTTCTACTGTAGCTTCTAACTCTTTTGGGTCACTTTTCTTGCAGCACGTTTTACCTGAGCTTGCTGGCTCACCTATGTGCTGACCCTGGTTGTCTTCTCTTTTCGGTATATATACCCTCCTCTATAGCTCTTTCATTATAGAGTTAAGAGCATAGATGATTGCTCCTTCTTTGTTGAAGGAAGAACAGCAGTTTTAGTATAATATTATTTATTTTGCTGTGCTTGTTTATTAACACATATTGCTAAGAGTTGCCTGTCTTTAAAAGTACATTTGCATTATTTTGCATATAAATGGAGTTTTAAATACATCCTTCAAATTTAGACAAAGTAAGTTTCCTTTGAAATTTTATGTAAAACGATTTCATGGAAGAATAAATTTTAAAATAATATTTCAAACATGACTATCACAGTTTTCTTTGCAACTTGAAATTTTCATCAACATTTTGCACTTGTAGCAAATGGTTGTTTGCAATGCAAAAGAACACCTGGGGTGTGTTTGTCAAAGTTATTCAAATTTGTAAATGTTAGGTTTTAAAACAGAATTATGTCAGTGTCTTAGATTAAAAGGTGTTAACATACATGGCCTGAAAATGATGACCTTAAAGATATTTCACATTCAGTGAAGTAAATGCATCTAGTTATCTCATTAGGTTTTTGATCTTGGAACTTCAATAAGATAGTTTTAAGGGAACCATCCTATGGTCATGCTTATTAGCCAAGTTAACTCAAACCTATTGCTTGATATCCTGTCCAATGTTCTTTCAGTTTCAATAAGTTTAGTTGAGAATGTTTTCTTATTTCAGCAAATCTCAGGGTGAAATGAATAAGAAATAGGTGTTTATTTCATAATTCTTCCTGAAGCTACCATGAAATGAACTATCGCTCTATGAAATAAGATGGCTCTAATTTTCCACCTCATATTAAAGGTAGCTTTTATGTGGTTTATAATGAACTGCTGTGTCATTCTTAACCTTTTATAGTTAGTATATAATAGCAAGTTATAATCACATTTGTCACAGTGATTGTATATTCATGGTAATTGTATTTTTTTAAATTTTTAAGCATTTATAACTTAAATTGTCCATGAAAATTATAATATAGTAAGACCCAATCACAGTGTCTTTAAATATTAGAATAAATATAATTAACTGCTTTCATGTAATTATGAGACTTGCTTTTAATAGAAAAGAGCTTCAAATCTGAGATTTAAAAATGTAAAACTGATATCAGCATAGGTAGCCATTTTACCTTCACTTAAAAGTGGTCAATGTGTGTGCTCACTTATCCGTGCATGTACTAAAATTGGAATGCTGCAGAGATTATCATGGCCCCTGCACAAGGAGGACACACAAATTCTAAAGTGTTCCGTATTTTAAAGATGTAACAATGAACTTAGAAAATACAGGAAGTGAAAGATATTTCAATATAGAGATTCTGAAAAAGAACCAAACAAATTTTGAAAATTAAAGAATTGATAACTTCAGTGGAAAGCATCACCAATAGATTAAATGGCTTTGAAAACAGATTTTCAGGTCTTAGAGACAAAATATATTATCTTGAAAATAAAAAAAGATGTTGCTGGGCATGGTGGGTCACGCCTGTAGTTCCAGTAGCTCGGGAGGTTGAGACAGGAGGATCAAGAGTTAAAAGCCAGATTTAGCAACTTAGTGAGGTGCTGAGCAACTCAGTGAGACTCTGTCTCTAAATAAAATATATAAAAGGGCTGGGGATGTGGCTCAGTGGTTGTGTGCCTCTGCGTTCAATCCCCCTTACTAAAAAAAAGAAAAAAAAGAAAGAAAAAGTTAAGAGACTATGACCAGAATATTCAAGAAATCTGGAGTAATGTTCAGAGACCAAATCTAAGAATCATTGATGTAGACAAAGACACTGAAGTGCAAACTAAAGGAATGCACAACCTATTCAATGAAATAATATCGGAGAAATTTCCAGACCTTAGTAACGAGATGGAAATTCAAATATAAGAGACATTTAGGACCCCAAATAAGCAAGACCAAAAAA